CATCGGCAAACTTGCTGAGGGTGCACTCAAATAATAATAATAATTATGAATTTCCACTTTTTACCTATTTTTGATCAAGTTCAGAAAACTGACTGCATTGAATATTAAGTAATATTTTACATGCATCTGTTTGTAGAGGAATACGAAAACATAGAACAGAAACAAGAAGCTTTTTGGTCTAATGTAAAATAAAAAAATGTTCCTCTCTTACCTCTGATGTGTTGTTTAAAATTTCACAAACTCAACTGGCCTTAAATTCTGACATATTAAAATAGACTGTCTCATATTAAGAAAGATATAAAATAATTCAAGATTACTGCTTAGAAGTCATGAGCCTATGTCTTCCTGGCCTGTTCTGAAATTGCCTTACTGTTAAATAATTTGCTTTTTGCTAATTACTTAAAAGTTGCTAATTTTTTTAGAAATTTTCTTGAGAAGAAAATGTTTTAAACCTTAGCAGGGGACAAGTAATTACAAAAATTACTATGCAACATTTGAAACCAAAAAGGTCTTTTTAATTTACTAATGTGATTTTAATTAGAGAAATGGAAAAGTTACTTTAATTGCCTTAGTGCAATAAAAAAGAAATTTTCCGTTAAGTCTTTTCTAACTGAACTTTTGCCCTTGGTAACACTGTAACTTCTCGTTCCAGAAAATTTTAGTGCGACATGGTCTTTAAACAGAATATTGTTCATAAGCAGTGCATGGAGGTCGAATTGTCAGCGTTCAAAAAAGTTAATCAAATTGACTCATAATGGTATTAATGACATTTTACAGAAAACTGCTTAAGAACTTTCTATATTATATGCTTTCATTTCCCTTTTGGGGGAATTCTGTCCCACTTGGGCATCCTTGCTCTCAGAGCTGCTCCCTACAGGATAGTGTTTTCTATGTCATTGTGCCCTTTTGTCATGCTTTAAGATCTCTCTTTGTATTTTTCCCTGTCCTAGTCTTTTTATTTTCCAAGAAAACCAGTTCTGACAGCCTTTGTTTTCTCAGATAAATGTCTTCCTGCATCTGGCACACTCCCAAAATCTCCTCAATACGTGTTCTTTACCTCATACATATTGTCATTCTGCAAGTACCACACATGGAAAATGATCTTCTTCCTCGCATTGCAGCTTCTTCCTTATTCTCAGCCAGCCTATTTCTGTGAGGCCCTTGCCCTTGTCTGTCAGAGGAGTTTATAATTTTGACTGAAAACCTGTCGAAGCAAGGGTAGGTCAGTGTCTGATGTAGTCAGGGGGCTGTATTGCATGGACTGTCCGTTGGTGGCCAGCTTGCCCAGGCAACAAGCCGGCTTGCTCCAGACACTTGTCTTTACTGCCTCTCCGGTGGGGACTGCCAGTTTTTTACCCTGTACTCAAGTCCAGCGATTCTGGTCCTGGAGCACAGGTCTGTGTAGACAGTAAATATTACACTTTTTGCTTGGATTTGGTGTACGTTATCTGTGCTTATCTGCGCTGCTCTTGTGTTCTGGTTTGAGTGTTGTGTTCTGGTCCTGCTGACTCCAGTGCCTTGGCAGGAATTGTACAATATCTTTTGACAGGAAGGCTGAAGCAAGTGCTTTAAAAGAAGAAAGGTGAAGTATATTTTGTAGAAAAAATTATGTGTGTGCTACACAGATTCATAGCTCTTATTTTCATCACTGTAAATGTAATACATATTTTTCCTGTGAATTCCAGGTTGTGAGCCATGCCTTTGGTGAAAAGGAACATTGAACCACGGCACCTCTGCCGAGGAGCTCTGCCAGAGGGAATTACTAGTGAACTGGAGTGTGTAACGAATAGTACCCTTGCTGCTATCATACGCCAGCTAAGCAGCTTAAGTGAGTATCTGTAGCTTCCTGTAAGTATTTGATTCTTGATGAAAAACTGAATAAATGAAAAGCTTTAAGATGACTTGTTTTAAATAGCAGAATAATTATATGGGACATTTCCACTGATGTAATATAATATCATAATGCTACTTTGCTTTTATGCTCTTCTATATTTTGAAGCTTATATGAGAAGAGCCTCTCTAAGATTTACAATTGTAAAAAACCAACCAACCAAACAAAAAAAACCACCACAAAACAAAACCAAAAACCAGCTGACTAAAAAACTATGGCATAGAAAAACAGGAATTTTTCTAAGGTGAGAGGAATTGGTGCAAGAAACAAGACTAGCACAAGAGTGTTTCTTGGCTTTCAGTTGTACAGGATGAAGCCAGCAAACTCTTCTACCTCTTGGCATTAAGTGACACATTTGACGGAAACTTCAGTTTGTTTTAATGTGTGTTAATACTCCTTAAGCCTTTTCTTATATATATTCATATTAATGAAATTAAGCACATGTATCAAAAGAATGGCATTCACTGAACAAACCTGTGGGCTACTGTTGAGGTAAGTAGCTCCGTACAGAGCAGCCTACACAGTACACGTGTCAGTTGACACCACAACTAGCAATTCTAGAAGCGTGCATGGAATGCTTGCAAGGAAAATAATTTTTCTTAATGAATGAGAAGAGATTTCTTCAGAGAGTGCTTAACAATCAGCAGCTGCTGTTTGCACTGATAACTCTGGTCCTAGAAAAGAAATTATTGCTTCATCAGTTTTTTCACTTTGTAAATGGAAATGGTTTAAGAATGTTTAGCTTTCATTTCTCCAGATTTGGTGCTACGGCTAATCTGCTGGTTATGTTGCATATTCAGATGCTTTTATGATTGTTGTTGAGGAACTGGCTACTTAAACAATCCATATCCTGCAATTTTCCCTCAGCAGATTTCTTGGGTCATCAGAAGTCTTTTTAGACAACCCTAAAGTACTTTATTAGTGTCAAGTTAAAGGTCTGTGCAAATAAATGTGTCCTTTGTTTTAATGGATGAATAAATGGGATTTAATGAGTGAAGTTTACCACGAGGCTTGTCCACAGTCTGAAATCTGTCATATTTACAGAGGATTTTTTCTGCAGACAGTGTTTGTTTTGCCTGTGTTTCATGCCAACTGGGAGCAAGGAAATGATCATAGAAAAATGCTGTGCTGGTGCTAATGTAGTATGCCCTGCTGACAGCATCAGAGCTCGCTGGTGTTCCCACAGCTTGAAGCATGAAGAGAGCAAGTACGGGTCTATTTTGCAGTCACGCTGTTTTTTAATGTTGCACTGTGTGTTCAGTGTGGATTTTGAAAACTGGCAGATCTGTGCGTTTGGATAGAAATTTGGCTTGCTTTTACCTCTGCTCTTTTCAGGAGGCATGAACAAGTTCCTATCCAAAGGGAATGTGCTCTCAGTGGAGCTTTTTTCTATTATGTCTTCAGATTTGGGTTTGTTTGCAGCCAGCTGGCTTGGAGCACAGGCAGAGTGAGCACAGTCCTGTATGAAACTGTGCACTTGTTATATAAGGCAAAAGCTTGAGAAGGGGATTCATCTCCATTTGGGAGGAGATAATCTACTGGGAGCATTTGCAGCCTGTACCTGTAAGCCCCATGATGCTTTAACTGGTAAAAACAGTGATAGAGCAAAGGCTTTGAGGAAAGCTTCCACAAAATACTCCCTTACTTTTTTTGGCAGTGGAGTTTGGCCTGATGGCTGCAGGACTCTAGCCAGTGAAAAGAGCTGCTCTCTGCAAAAGGGTCTCTTGCATCGTGGTTTTATTCCTGAGTTTTCCATGTCTGTATTTATAAGGAATAAATAATAATTTACATCAGATTGTTGTTGAAGACTAAATATTAAAAATTGTATATGTACTCCTTTATTGAGGTTTTTTCCACCAACTTGCCTCCTAGTATTTTCTTGGGTAGATTGGCTCAGAGTTTCATGAGTTGCAGGCGGGCCTGAGCACAGTGTCCAGCTTTGTGTGACTCTGCTCTCCCCACTGCTAAGTCAGATTGAGTTGGGAAGTAGTTAGCTTTTTCGGCATTGGGTACTGCGCTGGAGGTACTGTGAGGAGGCAGGTAGGAATCAAGACCTGGTCAGTAACAGCTTACCACTTTTGCTTATCTAAAATAAAAAGGGGGAGGGTGAGTGGGGAGCAAGATTCTAATGCTAATTAATCCAATTACAAATGGGTGGGTGGAATCACTGTTTTCTGCTTCATGCTGTGGTAAACTGGTCACCTTCTGGGTGTATTCCAACTTATAAAACACCAACTAGTTCTGCGGGATGTTTCAGTCCTTAGCTAGGACCCCGAGGAGAGCATTGGTGCAGCTCTGGCTCCATCTGAGGCAGCCCTAGTGTAATCCTTCTTTCAGGATTTCTTTTAGAACTGACACCTGAATGCCAGGTGATATCATTGTTTACCTTTTCTCATTGATAAAGCACCTTCATGGTGTGAAAAATTGTAGCCCTTTTAATGTACTGTAAAACTTTCTGTTAACTTGAACATGTTCTTCCGTGTACTTGTGCTGTGAAACAAGGAATGCAAAGGGAAGTCCTTAGGCTCAGATGTGTGAAAGGAAACTAGCCAAAGCAGTAAACACTGCTGGGTTTCAGGTCTTTAGAGAAGCCAGCATCATTGTTGGATTCCTCTTCTGTTACAGCACTGATCGTTTTCACTGCTGACAAAAGTTACCTTTGGGACAGCATATTCAAAGTGTTAATGCACACCTTTTTGTGCAGTTTCTGAAAATCAATTGTAATTAATTCAGGTGGTGTCTAGACTTTGCTAGAGATGTTATAAATTGATGTAGCAAGGTGTTGTTTCATGTAATTACTGCAGAACTTGAGTAGAGGTATTATTTCAATTATTTGTGAAATACTGATCTCCAGAAATGTCTCACAATGCTTGGAAATGTATTTTGTGAGCAGTCAAGTATACAGGTCTATGAAGGTGACCTGTGGAAGTGCAAGATAGAGGCACTTCTGTTAATTGACATTAAAACCTATTGAGAGTGGGGCCTTGGTGAGGCAGCATCATGACTAAATTTCCTCTCAACTACTACTGTGGTTGGAGGGAGCCTTAGAAGGAAAGACTGCATAATTCCTTTGGTGGTTTTTTAGATTGAATATTTAGGTTTTCTGTATGTTGGGAGGCACCTGTCTTGTAGTACCAAAATCAGCTCTTAAGTTGAAAGATACATGCTTGTAACTTCACATGCTTTTCCTGCTTGTTTCTGTATTGTTTAAAATCTAATTAAAAAGATGGTAACATAGAAAACACTAGAAAAATATTACTTTATTTCTAAAACTTCCTACATCACATTAATCAAAATAGCATGCTCCAATATTGCTTTACTGTATCACTGTTTGTACTGACAGGAGATTGACAACCTGGCTTTCACTTAGTGCTTAAAAAATAATAAACAATTTTAAAAATCAATATTAAAAGAAGTATGTTCCCACAAATGAACTTTATGGCTTATTTTGCCTCCTGAAAAATGACTGACAAGCAGCTATCTGCCTGACTTCTCTAGGGGTGATGTGTTTAATCCTAGAATGCAGCAGTCCTCCCTCAGCAGGCAGGTTTTAGTATATTAACATAAGCTAGCATCAATTTAAAAGTATTGATGTTTTGAGCTTTGAATACTGGTGGTTGAAGAATGTAATACTTGCTTTATTTATCTGAAGAGTTGAAAAGCTTATTTGTTCCCTAGTTTGGAATGACCTCTTCATCTGCAGCAGCTAAACCCAATGAGGATTATAACTGAATTCCAGATAGCTGCTGGGAAGCACTTTAGAGAACACTTGTACTGCAAAGGTGGCTGAGCACTGGCACACGTTGCCCAGAGAAGTTGTGGAGCCTCCATCCTTGGAGGTATTCAAAACCCAACTGGACACAGTCCTGGGCAACCTGCTCTTTCTGACCATGCTTTGAGCCAGGAGTTGAACTAGATAATCTTCAGCCTCATCTATTCTGTGTTTGTGTGACTTCTGTTTTGGAGGGGAAGGATATTAGGAGCAGATAGGCCATCACACCTTGCCTATCCACCTTCCACATAGTTACGAAGCAGAGCTTGGATACACCAAAGTATCTAACATTTTGAGTTAGTTATTGGCTGATCTTACATTTAGTGAAGAAATCTATTACTGGTGAAGTCCTCCACTCAAAGCAAGGCAGTCAAATTAATATTTTTTTATTTGTAATTCACAAACAGTGCTTTCAGATATTGTTTTAGTGGTGGTGGTGTTCTCTCTTCCCCCCAAGTAAATGATCCAAGAAAGGAGCAGATCCTGTTGACTGCCTTGATGTGGCTCTTTTTTACTTTGAATTATGGTCTCCAGGTGTTCACAGGATGGGATCGTGACTGAAATTTTCATTCTGTCTTTATTTTTCTTTGTGAAATATTGAGGTTGGTTATAGGACTCAAAATGTCAACATTTGCTGTTCTTTTGGAAGTCACTGTCATTTAGGTAGTTGATACATATTTCATTTTATTCCAACTATTCGACAAAGTTTCACTTTCCTTCTCCCCTCCGTTTCTGCTCTTCAGACTCCTCTTGATACAGCTCATAACAAGATGAGTTTAATAAGTAGTGTTTTAGAAGGATTTTGCTTTTGCACAGAGAACTGATGAAGTGTGGATGTCTTGAGAGTGGTGTTGGTTGCAAAAATAGTGGAGGGAGAAGCAACAGTATCTGTGTAGTTCTGATGCTGTCAATTGAGTGAGTGGCAGCAATGAATTTGTGTGGAATCTGAAATTTGTAGGGGACGTTATGGGACAGGAGAAGTGTTAAATTGGGGATTCTGATCCAGAGTTGATGAGAAATTTGGACTGGAGCAGGAGAGTCAAACTGTAGTTGAGGATGCCTAGTACTTTGGGAGGAGGAAGGCCTGGGAAAGGAATGGGCAAGCACAAGGGTCTCTGAACCAGGAGGGGGCTGGGTTTATCATGGGGCATTCCTAACTTTTAAGGTAGGGCTTGAGGCTGCAGGTCTGGATTGGACTATCCACTCTCATAGTGATTGAGAAAATACAGCAGCTGAAAGGGAGGCTGAAAAGGTTGTAGGCTTCTCTTTTGTGCTATATCAAGTCCAGACTGGCCATGGGTAAGTATGGTTGGTGCCATCTTTCTCAGTCTCTTAAATGACTCCAGTGACAGAGCAACATATATATTGTGAGCATTTGTAGAGATAAGTGGGCTGTTTTGCATGAGGATCCTGGTTTTCATCCATTTCACTTTGCCTTCATTTTGATGTTGGCTTGTACTCATGCTTATAATTAAATCGTGATGACTGTGGACTGCAAGGTATTAGACTTCAAAATTTACTTCAGAAGCTTTTATGGACAGCAGTAGCTTTGATGGGCCCTTATTTTCATCACAGAGGCAGGTTTTGATGATCATTTGTGTGTATGTTGGCAGTAGCTCAGCTACATATGAATTAAAATGTCAGAGTCTCCCCGTTTAAGTAGAAGACTAACCAGGATGTCCAGGAGAACAGACTTTAGGCAGCGTTTATCATATATTTTGAGATTATGTCCAAATCTATTGCCCAAAATTTTGCTGAATGACAAACTGTGCTGTTATAATCCTACAGCTACTGTGTTTTATTGTAACTTTGTGATATTGAAGTCATTTGTTTTGTAAGCCCTTAGCAAAGGGTTTTCCCTGTCTATTTTCTTACACAGGCAAACATGCTGAAGACATATTTGGTGAATTGTTTAATGAGGCCAACAGCTTCTACATCAGAGCAAACTCCCTTCAAGACAGAATCGATCGCCTTGCTGTCAAAGTTACCCAGCTGGATTCAACGGTAGAAGAGGGTAGGTAATTACATGAAAGCATTGAGCCAGAAGTGATGTTGACAAGACCACAGTATTTAATTACCCAACATTGTCTGTCTTTTCAAAGTAATCCTGAACTGATATTTCATCTTGTTTTCTCAGGAAGGCAAGCTGGGAAAAATCATGTTAGCAGAGCAAGGAAAAATATTCTTGAGTTGTATAACTGTCTTCATTGTTGTCTTAGTGTTACTTCAAGAAGCCCCTGTAGTAATCAAGCCATTAAGCTGTCTTTTTCACAGGGAAAACTTTTAGTTTGTGAATGTAATAAATCAAAGTGAATAGGGTGAATCTAGACCTTACTGGAAATAAATTAGAATATTGGAAAAAGTTTGAGACAGTAGATCTATTTATTTATTTCAGGTTAGGGTGGTCACAAACTATATTAGTAGTGTCTGTTCCACAGTCATCTAAGATCTTATAATACTCTTTTCCTAAATGAGGCCCTGCATGTTTGCATCAAGTAGGTGAAATTCTCTAGGGAGTGCTAGTCACTAGGAACAGTATTTTCTTTAAAATGCTGTTACATCCTCACTTGCTTATGTGTTTGGTCATTCACTTCATAAATACACAGTAAAAAAAAAAAAAAAAGGATTTCAGTAACATCATTACATTATTTGAAAGTACTTATTTGGGGAAGAAAAACATGTTTCTCTGTCTAGCTCTAAAAACTGTAACATGCATGTTTGCTTACATGTGCAGTTACATGTCTGAGCCAGCCACTGCACGTGCTCTCTGTTTAGATAATTCCTGGCATTTAGTAAAATGTAAAAGCTTGTTACATCAGGACAACAGTGTAATATTTACTCAGTAGTAGTTAATGCTGCTTGTCGTATATTTAGTAGTACTATTTATATGATTTATATATTAGATTTAATATTTATTTTTGTATAGTTTATATATTATATTTAATACTACTATTAATGCCAATATTAAATGTTACTGTTGATATTTAGTAGTGTAATGTTTAACCTTTCATTTTTAGCTTGTTACTGCCTGAAAATTATTACATGTCCGATTTTTTTCTGGTTTTGGAAGGTGTGAATGTGTCGCAGTTGATACTAGCACCTCTCTTTTGCTGTTGTAGAGGTCAGGAGCCATATGGGAACACAAGCTAAGCTATTATGGGATCACTATTCGACTTAGTTCTTGAGGCATGTTGTGGTGATAATATGAGCAAACTAGATGATGTTCATACACTGCACTTGCTCTGTACTCAGGTGGATTATGTCAGTCTTCATGACTTTAAAGTCCAACACTTTTGGAAATACAGTCCTCATGAGAGGGTTTTTTGCTTTTGTTTCTTTTTTTTTAACATCTCATTTTATTATGCAGTACCTCCTGGCTGGTTTCCAGACTTTAAAGCATAATTAAAAGCAGTGTATTGGCAGAGGAAACTAGTGTATGGACTGAGAATTTAATCAGTTTTTATTTTAAATTGACAGCAGTTATTACTCTTGAATTGCTAATTGTCTTTCATGTTAATAAGCTATATATACAAACTGCTGTCAAATTACTGTCAGTAGGAAATTTTATTAGTTATTTTACTGTAGAAGTCGAAGTCTTTATGATAATTCATTGCACTGTCACTAATATTAAATATATTTCTGGGTAGCTTAGGCATTTATGTAAAAGGTCAATTGCTAGGTTGATTTTAAAAAGCCCTTTAGATTTAATTGCATCAGTGATTTCTTACATTCTTAGGTATAACTAATATATAGTGTATATATAAAAATATTTTGTATATGTAACTAATACTACAGTTGAAAAAAACATTTTAAAATAATTGAGGTTAAGTTTTCAAAAGCGTATAAATAAATGGCACTAAAAAGCCCAGAAAAATGGGAGAACTATCTTCCTTCAAACAAGAATGTAACAATTTAGAGGCATAGATCTGAAAAACCTGCCTGAAATACTTTGAGTTTACTTATAGGCAGGTTTAAATGGCAAATAATTTCTCAAAAATGATGTTTTGATACTTCAGATTATGTGGATGGGGGTACTACAATTTGGAATTAAATACTCTGTTTCTAAGTTTTGCTATTTTAAAAGCTGTGGAAGAATCTAAGTAGTCTTGGAGTGAGAGGCAAGACCTCAGCACAGATAACAAAAGTAGTTGGGTAGAGAAATCTGAGCGGTATTTGTTTTCCATCACGACAGAGGATACCAGTGTACCTTACAGGGTCTGTATCAAACTTCATGCCTTTCTGGTTTTGCAGGTCATCAGTATATTAAATTTTTACCCAATGCTGTTCAGTTTCTGGGTGAAGCTCTCACAATTTGTTCTTGAGACTTGATAAATGAGATGAATGGGTGAGAAATATTAGATAAAATGGCAATGACAATAAAAAGAAAACAAGCCAATGCATTTTGTTTGCGTTCCTCCTACGCTTGCACTGTTGTAAAAGAGTGGGATCAATTCTAGGAATGGTTAGTGTAGACAAGCCAGTGAAGAGTTCAGTGCTCTGTTCAACAGCAGTCAAAAACCTGTATTTCAGCTTGCCTGAGAGTGGAAGATAATGTGAAGAGCTTACTGCCACTTTTAAACTGTTGTGGGCATTATCTGGATATTTTTGGCAGTGGTCATTTCATCTCGGGAGAACTTATATTAAGAATGAAAGAAAGTCTTGCTAGAAGTGACAGAAACAATTAAAAGCAACTTAAATCTTTCATTTGAAAAGAAAGAATGAAAATGCTAGTATTGTTTCCCCTGGAATTGTGTACGTGAAAAGATAATATGGAAATATGTTACTGGACTGTATGAAGAAAGTATTTATTTTTATAGAGAGATGAGGAAAACTTAAGATCAAGGTATGTTCAATTATATGGAAAAATTTTGGAGTTAAAAGATGGTAAAAGATGTGGAACTCTCTCTCTCACACAGGAGGTTGTGGAGGCCATAATTTAATTAAACTTAGAATAGAGTTGAATGTGTGTGGATACCACATGTAGTTACAAAACAGGCTGTGTCAGAGGAATACCAGACCTTGTGTTTCAGGCTTGAAGCCAGTCTTTCTGCTGTTAGAAATCTAGGTTAAACCTCATAAAAAGGGGAGATCATTGGACATGTGCATGTGACAGGATTCTTGCATCATCTTCCAAGACACAGTCCATAGTCCCATTATTTTAAGTGAGGTTTTGGACAAAGTAGGACTTAAATCTGATTTATTATGGTAATTGTTGTATGCTGTTGTGCTTAAATATCATTATTATCCACTAAAGAAAAATGTTTCCATTTTCCTTCTATATTTTGCTGAAAATATTTTAAATAGTTAGTGTAAAATGGACTTTGTTTATCCACTTATGTTAATTTGAGACTTGTGATAAATGTATTTTTGTTTCTAACAGTATCATTACAAGATATCAACATGAAAAAAGCATTCAAGAGCTCAACAATTCAAGATCAGCAGGTAGTTTCAAAGAACAGCATTCCTAACCCAGTGGCTGATATTTATAATCAGAGTGACAAACCGCCACCTCTGAACATTCTTTCACCTTATAGGTATGGAAATATTAATTGTTTACATTCTTGTACTTTGCCCTTTATCTCCTAGTTGTAAGCAGAGAATAGCTACAGCAGAAAGGAAAAGCTGTATTAGTTATTGAGATTTGGTTTTTTTGGGGACTTCCCTGTTCATGGAAACAAAAATTGCTATTACCACACTTAAAATCATAAGTTTTACATGTCAAAAATCATCTTATTTCAGCATGTGTTGCATGGCAGCACAGGATCAGAGAGCAAGGGCCACTGATTGTGTAAAAAGTGAAAAGAAAATTAGTAATACACTAAAATGCTGTATTTGGTTTGTTTATCCAGAAAGCTGGATTTGTTGCTTTTGCCTTCCCTCTACTCTCTCTCTTCCCTTCAACATATACACATGTATGCCCACACACACAATCTTTACTTTTTTTTTTCCCTGGATACTTCCTGGTGAATAAAAGAGCAGCAATCAGGACTTCATTTCCTGTTTTCTTTTCCTGTTTTGTTTAAGATTTTTGTTGTTCATGAAATGAGTATAATTTGTCTGTTGGAAGAGTTGTGGACAACGTGGTTTTACTGTGTCCTTCAACTTTTGAGAGGTACTAGATTGTGAGGTATCTGTGTAAAGCAGGCACTCAGTCTGCACTAAATTATTTGAATTTTTTTTTTAGGAATGGTATAGCAGAGCATTTGCAGTGTATTTTATTGTTAAGAGCTTTTACTTGGAACATAAAATTGTTAGATTTATAGCTGAAGGACATGGTTTTTGCCACTGCTATAGACAGTGGTGGTGGTTGATTGTTTATAGACACCCAGTTAGCAAAAGTTGTTATCGATGAGCTGTTCTGCACAGCTATGTCCCAATACGTATCTGGATGACGGTGTCAGTGACCTTTATTGTTATTCCTGGGTTTTTTAGAGATACTTTAGTGAAATTTACTTAAATTTTATTTTTGGTAAGTCTTACATCTGCTGAATTTAAATTATTTGTATTTGCCTTGGACAAAGCTTAAACGAACTTCAACGTGTAGTCTGACCAAAGCTGGAGGAGTGGAAGAGTGGCCCCAGTACCCCCTTCAAGTAGATTAGATGTTTGTAGCAAGGAGGTCTAACACAAAAAGTAAGGGGTTTACAGCTGTGTGACCAGGCATTGTACACGATCTGGTCTCTGTACCCTGCTCCAGTGCTTGTAAGGTTTCCATGTGCTGGATCTCCATTGCTCTTGATCTTGCTGGTAGAAATTAGTATTCAGCTGCCATCAGAATTTACCTAGGAAGAAATTAGGCCCCACAACCAAAAGGGACTCTGCTAAACAGTTTAGCAAGCTGGACTGGGATCACTGTCATATGTTGTTTGGACCATGCCAGCTACCCTGCCATGTTTATTCCCCTTACACCCCATTCCTTTCCAGGAGTTTAGGATATTGGAAGATTCCCTATTTCCATGTTATGGAGTCAAATTATGATTTGATAGCATACCTTTTTTTTTTGTGCCTTCTTACTCTGGGTGACCCTGGCTCCTGCTGCAAATTGGAGCTGGCAAGTCCAGATCAGCTCTGTCTCAAATCCTCCTAGAATAGTCTGGTAGGATTCAGCCTTTCAGTTCCCACCCCTTTCCTACCCCTTCCTCTAATTAGAAGAGTCCCATTGAGAGTAGCAACTGTCTTGTGCTTCCTGTCATAAGGGCAAAGGTACTCAGACCTATCTTGTTCCTAAATTCAGATCTTAAGACCCGTCTGGATTGAGCCAAATACTCCCTTTCTAGTTCATTTGAGATGGTTGAGTTCAATTCTTGCACTCCTTTGTCCCCTACACACCCTGTCTTGACTCTGATCATTGTGCAGCACCAGTGAATTTCCCTCCGGTGAGCCAGCTGATGCAGGAGCCCAGTCTGAGCTCCTGCTGAGCTTTGATGAAGCATGCCTTGCAAAAGACTCTGGATTCTGCCCCTTTTCCCCTGAAATTCATGGCATGAATCAGCAGTCAGTTGTGAGCTGTAACTAGCAGAGTGGCATTTAATGCACTTGGCATGCTGTCAGCATATAATGCAGAAAAGGTGAAGCTTGGATGATTGTTGAAGGTGAGTTTTGTTGGTTTAAAAAAATATTTATTCATATTTCCTTAGCTTTTCTTCTGCTGTATTTCCAGGGATGATAAGAAAGATGGATTGAAGTTCTATACTGATCCTTCCTATTTTTTTGATCTTTGGAAAGAAAAAATGTTACAAGATACTGAAGATAAACGAAAAGAAAAGAGACGACAAAAGGTAAAAGCAGAAACATAAGAGCAAATGGATGTATTATAATTTTGTGTATGGTTGTCCAGGCAGAAAAATTGCTAGGTCATACTTAGCTTGATTCAGTTGGTTCAGTTTTTATAGCTCATACTGTCTGTTTTAAGAAGTTGGCAAACTGAATTTTAGGAGTACTGTAGTTATCTTCCAAGATACTTACTTTAATCTTTTGCCAGTGTCTGCTTATTAGTACTCAGCAAAATGGCCCTGTTGTGCTTCAGAAAAAGACACTGTGATTTAGGGGAGGAAAAAAAAGAGTTTGATTTACAGTTTCCTTTATTTTTGTATTTTTTTTTTTAATCCAGCAACACGAGCTTCTGTAGCAAAGCACGAGCTTATCCAGAAATAAATATCTTGTTGCCTTTTAAAAATTCCTTTATAGTAACTCTTCACTTTTCTACTCCTGTTACAAGTTAATAAGATGACAATACACAGCAGAATTATTCTGTGGTTCAACAATAAGAGCAAATTAATTTTACGAGTAATATTCTTTGTTTCCTCTAAGTTTAAAAGAAATAAAAAAGGGGGTTTTTTTTATAGAAAAGAGTCTTCGGTCCTTCTGGAATATCTTCAGCAGTTTGATCCAGGATGTGTATTCTGATACAATCAAGATTTTCTTAATGGATTTTAGTTCTGAATGGAGAAACTAGTTGCTACTTCTATAGCTGCTTTGCTGTCAAATTTTTATCAGATCTGAGGGCTTTAAGATTTGTGAAGATAATTCTGAAAAAGAAAGTGAAGAAGGAAAGTTTGAAGCAATGACTGTGTATCTTGTCTGTCAGAAGGTGCCCTGCTAGATGGGCTCAGTGAGACGTAAAAGGGATGTAAAATAAAAGGAATCCAAAGAAAGATGCACAGACTGCTCGGAGGAAGTAGAAGGAAGCTGCTTAGTTTTCAGTACATATACACACATATATACACATGTGTATGTACATATACACATATATGTCATATGTTAGCATGCCTATACATGTGTTTAAGCAGGTATTGTAATATCACAGAATCACAGAATGTTAGGGATTGGAAGGGACCTCGAAAGATCATCAAATATATACATGGATTCACAATGTATATACAGTATATTCAAAATGTCTAATACGTGAATATGCATCCTAATATAGATTTGTTTATATACAGCATGTGTATATATATGTTAAAATATATGGTACCTGCTTAGAAATCAAAGTGTAGAGCATGACAAGGAAGCTTTACTATTCTGTTGCTAGGCAAAACTTTTTGACTACAATGTTTTTAAACAAAATATGAAGACATTTTATGAATTCATGATTTCAAGAGTTTTGGAAGAAATAAATCAGGTCTTTCTGTTAGGAGTATGGGTAAAAATTTTTGTTCTGATCAGTATCTCAGTATTGAATTATTAAATAGAGATGAAAAAGCTAAGTAAACATTTTGGTATAATTGTATACAAATGTATATGCAATGTTATAATCCCACTATGTTCTCAGTTTGATAAGTCACAGAGCTAATTAAAAGACTGGAAATAATTAAAGCAGCTTTAATTCTCTAGTTTAGTTGTTTTTTAAAAAATTTCATTCAGTGTTTCTTTATGAAAAAATATATAGGGATAATAGCACCTTTGGGTTTTTTTCCTCCTACCTTTTTCCCTTCAAATTTAGACCTTTTCACTAGAGAGAGGGATAAAAAGAAACTATCAACTGCTAAATTTTTCATTCTGATATAATATAAAACAGGAAAAAAAGGGAAAAAATACAAAATTTGTTTTTAAATAATAACAGAATATTTCTTGAAAAATTTTTGATAGCTTTAGAGAGATTTTTGCAAAACCACTTTATATATAAATTTACTTTTAGACTATATGTTAGGCAACATATCTCACTTAGTTCCATCCATGGTATATTTTTTAATAGTTTAACTGTCTTGCTACATACTACAAACCAGATGTAAGATATGCTCCATTCCAGTCATGTAGGATGATAGCCATATATCACTGAAACACCCTTGATAAATTCTACTTGCAGTGCTATTTGGTTAAATATATAACAAGACTGAGAAGAAAGCAGCATGGATCTGAGTTTGCATGAGTAGGTGTCACTTTGTGAGAAGAAGTCTGTTTTTTAGCCTTCCAGAAGCTGATGTGCAAATAAGCTTTTTATCATCTGGAACCTTCAGAGATCTGGAGGGTTTGGGTGAGATGTCTCACAGGCACAATTTGTTCCATGGCTTGCTTAACAGGCTGTCATTTTCTTTTGTTCTCATCCTTAACGTAGCAGTGACCAGGAATGAATCTAGAGCATCTATTAAGAATTTTGTGGCTGAAGTTTTGTTTTGAATCTACTGAGAATTCCTTAAGTAAATTGTACTCTACAGAAGCACAAAATACAAAAGTCGTTGAGAAACTGCAGGTGAAATACATGTGTATTGTTCAGCCAGTTATAAGCTAGACTTCCAAATGCAGACTAGACTACTCAGCTGACCAAATATAGCTGGTTTTTAGCCTCAATTTTTCAGGCGGTCAGTGGAGCCTGAGAGTACGTCTTGCACCAGAGAATCGATTTTCCAGTATTATTTGGTAATTTGCCTTAAACGCTTGAGCTGTTGCAGCAGAAGACTTGTGAGGAGTTTCATTTTCCTCCCTTCAAATATCGTACTTATTTATTGTTTCTGCATTCAGCGTAACTGACAAAATCTAACACAGGCTTTCTCCGATTTAACTCTTTCAGGTGAACTTTTTCTCTGAAGAAACCTATAGTTTTAATTCTTTAAGTTTAAAATCTGTGGTATTAAATCTCTGTATTTTGTTTGTTTGGTTAGTTTTGTTGTTTTTTGGTTTGTTTGGGGGTTTTTTAAGGGGTTTTTTTTTGGGGGGGGGAGTGTTTTGGTTTGGGCTTTTTTTACTGTCATTAGATCAGTGCCTGAGTTCAATGAAGTTGGTTTTGACTTTTGCATATATCAGTAATATTTTGAACTGAATGACAGTAGTAGAGCAGTTGTTAACTGTTGGTTAACAAAAGGAAAGTTGTTCTGCTTTGCTTTTTATTGTTTCACATTTTTTCTGAGGAATGATTAGTTATTTAAATAAATAGAAATCTTCAAATTTAGACGGCTTATATTTAAGAAATGGTTCTTGACGTCTTGTGATTGATAGGATCTTGTGAAGTTGTGCAGTCAGGGAAATGCTTTGGGCTCGCACTTCCAGGTTTTTGAAAGTATTGCAAGTACTTGCTGAAGCTACTTTCTGTTACTAGCTCTAAGTCGCTTGAAATATCATTTGCTAACTCTTGATGCAAATATGAAACTTAAAATTAACTTAGCCCTGTTTGAGGGCTCTAATATGTTTGTTGTGTTTGCTGAAATCACTTCCTGCCAACAGCTGAATAATGTACCTGTTTTCTGGCTTAACCTACTCCATCTACTTGTCTGCCACAGCTTCTATACATTTGGCTAAAGGAAGCAGCTCTTCTTAATATTGCTTAACTTTCCTAAGGAATATTTCTAACTGTAGTTGTTTTGAAAGGCTTCAGCTCCCCCCGAGCTCTGTTGTCATTGACCCAGGTACTAAAACTACAGCTGTCACCACTGTTTGTCAAGGTAATGGAAGTATTACTGGAACAGCTTAAAACTACTCTGCTAGAGGTATCTGTAGTTAGTTAGAGGTATATACAGTTTTGTCAAATGCTGATAATTAGCCTGCCCCACTACTTTGGAATGAATTAAATGTTTTAGAGATGTATTTTTTATCATGCTTAATCAAAAAAACAGTACCAGTGAGGTTTAGTACGGTTTGCATAAAAAGGGTTCCAGCATATTTATTCATTAGCACACTTACAGATGCTGGTCTGGAACAACTTTTCCAACTGAAATTTGATCCAATAAAAACAAACTAAGCTTTATGTTTATTTTATGTCATTTATTTATACATACATGTGTATTTACTTTTTCATAAAAATCATAGTGATCTCTTTAAAACAAAACTTTTAAATAGGGTGATTGTATGTAAATAGTCATGTAAGCACTCCTGATTGTACAGGAATTGTATCAAAGTGGTTGTCTTCTGAGCAGTACCATACATTGGCCAAAAGGCAGATTATTTACTTTATCTAGAAACTTGCAAGAAATATGTAGTTGTGACCCCTAGAGGATGGAGTTATTCTGTGAGAAGACTAAAGCGTATTTTCAGTTAATCAAAAGGCTTACTTGTACTTTCCTCTCAAATCTAGCATGATTTAGTAACAAAATCTTAAAAAATTAACCTGGATAAAAGTCACAAATTAAAACAAATTAAATTTTGCACCAATCAAATGAAAAAGATGTAAAGCCTTTAACAAGCATATATTCAACCATGGTGATTAGCAAAACTTCATATATTTAAAATACAGCACGACTGAATCTGGCTCCCTTCTGCTCCAATTCCTGTATTGGGTAATTTTGATGTGAAAAAGTGGTATTAAAGGAGAAAGTAAAGCCTTGTATAACCTGGATAAAAAAGGGTGTCATTCTAAAAAGTTTTGTGAGGAAAAAGATTTTATAGGAAGTTATTAAGAACCAAGGTGATGATTTTACATAACGTGAATCAAATAAAAATCTGCTCACTGCAGGGTCCAAGAATAAGCAAGTGTTGGAACACTTGGATGTTGAACTTCAAAAAGACTTTTCTGTGTCATTCTTAAAGTTAGCAGATGTGGATCATCAGGTCCCTCATATGAGCATGCATGAACAAGCAAGAGATTGAAAACAAGGGCAAGCAAGCCATTTGATAGATTTTTGTTAGTTGTATAATGACAAATACATTATTTCACAATTATTTACCGAGTGCTGCTTGACAGTTGGAGTAAAATACCTTTGTTCATCTGTGAGGTACCTTTTTCTCTTTTTGGTGAGACTGGCTTTCCAACTATTATCTCTTACTTTGAAGGTAGAGATTCCGCGATAAAATGCTTGCATATCAGCATTTTACCCACCTCTGCTCTAAATACAGTTGAATATGACTGCATTCTCAGAATATCAATATAATTCTTTCCTGAGAAACTATTTTTCTGGCAGCCAAAGGCCTAATACCAACTTATTAATAGATAAAACATGTTTAACTGTTTATGAATTAGTATTGTAAGATGTGGACTCTAGAGCAGGTTTAAAAAAAAAAAAATCCAATGCCCTCATAAGTGTTGAGAAGAGGAGTAGCACATAAATACTCCTCTTAGTTTGGGTTGTGGAACGCTGCTTATCCTGCAGCACCAGTATGGTTTTTATAGTCAGAAGTAGGTGAGGACTACATTTCAGAGATGAGCATTGAGTCCCACTTCTAGGAGATCTTACTGATAGATAAACACTGACATTGATTGGACCTGAAATTATATAGAAAGATTTTTAAAAACTGAACAGACTGATTTGTTATGAAGCTACTAAGATGTAATATATTACTGGCCTGAATGTTACTGGCACATTGCAGAGAGGATTAGTGTCATTCATTTTTATATAAAATAATGGGAAACAGTGAATGATGAAAAAAACTAGGAGGAATTTTGGTAGCTAAGCAGATCTAAGGAGGGAGAGGAAGCTAAACCAACCAAACAAATCATTTCACATAGACTATGAAATAGGAAAATGTTTCTAATTTTTCCATACTTCCCCAAGACCTCGGGCCATTGAGACCCTAATGAATAGCCAAAATAACCCTGAGCATTTTTAGCACATTCTCGTAAGGTTGATTTGCAGGAAAAGGAAATTACAAGTGCTTCAGGATGGTCTAAATAAATGACAAATAAGGTCAGCAGAAGTTAAACTTTCTGGCTTTTAAAATCAGTCACATTTCTGTCTGTATTGGGAAAAACAGTAGGTCAGTGTCACACTAGCATGTGCATCATACAGAAGGGCAACAGTCTGACTGTTAAGGAGGTTCATAGCTTAAGAAGATTAGATAAGTCTCATTTTCAGTGCAGAGAAATTTTATGAAGATTTGGCTTCATCTATAAATCTGGTCTTATATTCATGCGCTCTAACTGCATTTTAACCAGCTTTTTTCCTTTCCTTTTTTTTCTCTCTTTGCATGCTTTATGTCTTTTGTTTGAACACTAGGAGCAAAAGCGTATAGATGGCACCACCCGTGAGGTGAAAAAGGTTAGAAAAGCCAGGAACAGACGCCAGGAGTGGAATATGATGGCGTATGACAAAGAGCTTAGACCTGACAACAGGTTGTCTCAAAGTGTGTACCATGGAGCATCTTCCGAGGGATCACTGTCCCCAGATACTAGGTCTGTTTACAGCAAAGCTGTTTGTTATACCGCAGTCGTATGTTCAGAAATACTGAGTAGAATTAGGTGTTTTTGCAGGCTGGGAATAGTTAGAATGGATGAAACATATGATGCATGTTTTAAAGTTCTTCTCAAAATTATTTTAAAGCACAAGTAACGTAAGAAATTCTGTGATTAATGATTTTTTTTTTTCTTCCTCAGCTTCAGATGAGTATTTTGTCATCATAACGTTATGCACTGTAGTGAAATAAGTGTTTGCTCTATACTTTATATTTGATCTGGAGTAGCTGTAGCTGCAAAAGCATTTAAATCTGTCTCTCTTGGATAATGTCAGTACCTCTTTCTTCATGTCTAGTTTGTTGCATGTTATGCTGCTGATAGCTTAATAAATACTTTTCTGTGATCAACTCAGGCATACTTTTGCCTCTAACAGGATGCTTTAATGGAGGAACAGTTCAGCTTTATCCATGTTATATTTGTCTAAAAAGCAAGCTACAAAACCAGATGCAATATCGTTGCTTGAAATAGCAGAAATCTCTGCTTAGAGAGACACAGCAGAATTCATCTTTGTTGTCTGAGATTCCCTTTGAGCACAGCAGGAGTTACCACCTTCTGGTGTGCACAGAAATCTGAGTTTGTTCACTAAGCTGGTCTCACTGGAGGATTTTCCCTCTTATTTTATTTCTCTGTCTGTCATGGTTAACTGCAGGCAGTAATGTTAGGAATAAATAGAATCTACTGGAAGAAGTCTGTGACAATTTAGTGTGTTTAAATTGTTGAATGGCTAAGTTGAGGAAGCAGCCACCACTACAAAAGTGTGGGCTGATACCTTTAGTCTGCTGTCCAGTGGAGATCAATTTAAAAAAAAAGATATCTGCTGAGAACTTTATAAATGTAATATTTGGATCTTTGTGAAAAGTAATCACCTTGTAATTGAAACAAAAAAATTAAAGAAAATTGCTACTGCTGTTTCAATAATATATTCAGACTACTTCTCTCTGTCTAAAATCCTTTAATTACCTTTTTTTTCCAGTTTCTGATGCAAGACGTTATGTTGTGTTTGTCAGTCTGTAATGTTTCATTAAGACTATGCTTTCCATAGGTTGATTTGGTGAAATTACGTTCATGTTCAGCTGTCAAGTGCAAGATGTGGATTTTTTCGTCATGAGTTCAGCATTTCACACTTTGAGTCTTTTTCTAGCCTTAACACCTTGCTTCGGAATTCCTGAGTTTAAATAATCATACTGAAGTGATCTGGTTTTATCTCCCAGCAATGTCAACATGTATTTGACTGTTTGCAGATATCCATAATATTTGCAACCTGTAAGATTTTGGTTTTGAGCAGAATTGTAGGATGCACCATTATGTTGGATATAGATGTTTTGCTATGACAGATATGTACTTATATGTACTTACATAAGCCTTTCAAATTTTATAATGTATGGAGAACTTTAAATTTCTGTGACTCAAATATCAGCGATTGAATCTTGAAATGTGTGTTTTACATGCATGAAGGGTTAATTTTGTGAGTGGTAGTGAGGTGGAGAGAAAGCTTTGTTTTGTTCTGTTTTTTTTATCTTGGGGTAGTCTTTGCTGCAGGAACTAAGCTGTAAAGAACCCCATACATATAGAAATAAGTACTGGCTTCAGAGACATTTTTATGCTGACAGCTACTGCATGAGCAGTGTTTTACAAATAAGGTCCCAAATAAGTGTATTTGGCTGTATTGTGATTCTATTTAATGCTAAAGTAAAACAAAACCACCTCATGTTTCTTCTCATTTGCTAATTGTTAGACTTATGCATTAAACATTGACATTGAAGCTCCAGACTGTGGCAATTTACAATGTATTTGTTATACTTTGTGTACTTTAGAGAGAGAAACACAAGCTGAATCCAAACAGAAACCAGCAAATTAATGTGAGAAAAGTCAGAACAAGAAAAGAAGAGTGGGAGAGAAGGAAAATGGGCATTGAGTTCATGAGTGACACAAAGAAAATGGAACAGGCAGGAAGCATGAAAGAGGACAAAATGCCCAAAGGGTTTGTCATTTTGTTTTACTCAAGGCCCTGGCTTTTTGTTGCTTACCTTGCTTCCAGTCTCACAGATAAGCGTGTCAGTTTACTGTGTTCACTAAAAGCCAGGCTGCACGATTGTTCGGTACTAAAACAACTGTTTGCAGTAATGGGATGAAGAGATCCTTTTGCTCCCTCTCTTGGGCTTATTTGACAGCGCATCCTAGACTTTGTATCTTTATGAACTCTCTGCTCAACTAATAATTTACATTTCCCAGTTTCTCTAAGCCTTTCCAGCAAATTAATTGTGCAAACAAAATAAAAAGCGTTTTCTAACATTGGAAATTGTTTTTCTCTGCTTTGGTAAAATATATTCTTCTGTGTAACTGTGAGTGCTTGCAGTATTGCTTTCCTTTTTCTGCTGCCATTGTTTACTTGAGACCGGCGTGATAAATATTATCATTTCAAGCAATGGACTGTCAAAATCATTGACAAGACCAATATGCCTCCTTATGGCTACTAAAGAATTCTAAAGCAAGCTGTGAAGTTTTTTTGCCTTTTTTCCAGTCTGCATTATAGGAGCACATTCTGCATGCAGCTAGTATGCTGAAATATTGAAATCATTCAATTTCAGTCCTTTTATGCTGGCTGGTCAGACTAATTTATTTTTAAGTCATGTTAAGCTGAACCATATTTTTTTGTGGCATTTGTTCTTGTGCTTTCTGTGGACTTAGAAGGGAATGGTGCTTGATAATCAGGGAGTCCTGTTGCAAGAAAAATAATTGTGGTTGCATTCTTTTTAGCTTTTCTCATGAACTATTTAGATAGTACCTTGTTACACTCACATAATCTGTTCTTCTGTATCCATTTACTTTAATTTTAGGTCCCATGCATCTGATGTTACAGATTATTCTTATCCTGCTACTCCAAATCATTCCCTCCATCAGCAGATAGCAATGCCTTCATATGGAACAGGAGATGGTCCACAGTACGTGGCAGCATCCCAAAGCCACGAGCATGAATACAGACCACCTTCCACCACTGTACGACATGCTACTTTAAACAGACCTCAGCAACCACCTCCACCACCACCCCAGCCTTCAGAGGGCCAACATAGCTCAGTACCTGTCGTACCAGCAGAATATGGGTAAAAATCCTGATTTATTCCGGTGGATTCTTGACAAAACGAGAGATGCATGTTTTCCATTGCCATGGTAACATAATGCACACACACAAAAAGACCCCAAACATGTTAGTTATCACCCTGGGGAGGACAGAAAAAAATTGGTATAATTTCTCTGTAAGAACTGTATTTAAGTCAAGAAATGGCAGAAATAATGAACTGTGTATTTAATGTGGTGAAATCAATATGCTTGTAAAATATTAAGAGCTCCTAATATAATATTAAAAAGGGGATCATTTTCCATTAAAGTGGAAAATAGTTACAGCATAATTTGAATAATATTTTAAACTTCAGGAAAGGTGCAGACAAAGTATCCCTGAATGTGATTAATGTGGCAGTCTGCGTTTCATCCCTTAAATGACTTTTTGAAGGAGCTTATGACAGAATTGGAAGGGATCTCTTCAGACACAGAATCAAGTTCCCTACTGCCACAGACAACTCCATAATTCAGTATATGAATTTATTAAACTCCTGTGTAGATATTTTGCCTGCCTGCATGCATTCTGAAAGGAGGCTTGTGCCATAGTGCAGGCTCTCCAATAGCAAGAAAACATCTCTTTTCTAACCAGTCTGTGCCTGCCTGTTCTTTTGCTGAAATAGCTTAGGCTTTCAAGTTGTAACCCCAGGAAAGTTGTAATCATTCTTGCCTGTGTCATTTTAACCTAAGCAAGCCTCACTTGATGCATCCTGGGTTAGCATTTGCCCAATTCATAACTATCATAGAATCATAGAATGGTTTGGGTTGGAAGGGACCTTTAAAAGTCATCTAGTCCAACCCCCCTGCAGTGAGCAGGGACACCTTCATGCTGTAGCTGACTCAGTTATGCTATAATTGACTGCTCCAACCTGCATTTTCTCTGTTACTTCCAGTTTATAACAGAAATACTTGTGCTTAGTCCCCAGGTACATGACCATTGTCAGTGTATCACAGCTGTCATACTGACATGCATCACTGAATGTCATCAGTAACTTTCCTTCAACTCCTGTCTCCTATATCTAGCTCTTCACCTACTTCATAACTCTTATATTAATTGCCATTTTTTCTGCTTAAGAATTCTTTTAATGACGTTTTAACAAATAAATTAGCTCTTCCCTGAGCCTCCTCTTTAAAGTATCAATCAAATGTATCAATTTAATTAAATAATATTTAAATTGTTTAAGTTGAATATAGAAGCACATGAGATGCATGATATTTGGATATGTACCTTCAAGTAAATCTTGCTGTTTATACTTTACATTGTCCTCCCTACCTGTCTCTTTTATTATCTCTTAATATTTGTTCCAACACTTAGTCTTCTATGGAAGTGATATGTGTAGTCTACAGTTTTCTTGGTCCCTTCTTCGTCATAGGCATTGCATTTAAAATTCTCACAGAGTAGATGTTTACTAACAAATACAGCTTTATACTTAACTAGGCAGGTTTATTAAGATAAAATATCACTTTGTGGAGTGCTGAAAGGACACTGCCTTTAATTTCATCATCTGCCATAAATCTCAATGTATTATCAATATTTGACAATTCATGTTTATAATCACTTGCATATTTAAGTCACCAGTTTAAATTCCTTCTGGTTTTTGTTTTAGCTGAGGTTGGATGAGAGCATTTTAAGGGGTAATGATTCTGTAACTTACAATGCATTAAATGTTTTTCTTCTGTTTTATATAGGATGCTTCCAGCTCAGATGGTGGATTATTACAATCCTACAGGTCCCCCCCCTCCTCCTCCTCCCCCTATGATTCCTTCAGCGCAAACTGCATTTGTTAGTCCCCTTCAGCTTCCTGTGCCACCTTCCCATTCTGGACTGGTGACTGGCTCTACTTATGCAGCTACTCATCCTCCTCCTTCTGGTGGGCTTGTGGTCACTGCTCCTCCTCCTCCTGGCCCACCTCCTCCCCCTCCAGGCCCTCCTGCTCCAGGTTCATCCCTCTCGGCCTCCCCAATGCATGCTCCTCCACCTGCAGAGACCAAACGTCATGAGCCTGCACAGCCGCCGATAAGCGATGCACGGAGCGATCTTCTTGCTGCCATTCGAATGGGTAAGTGGACACTGAGTTTTAGCTATTTTATTTTATTTTTTCCCTCCAAGGAAAGCTCTGTGTTTTCAAGTGATCTGAGTTCATGGCTTCTCTTACAAGGTGGGCCGAATGTCATTAAGAGACTAATTAACCACAGGCCAAACCACACCCCTATTCAGACATTTGTCAGCCCTGACTTTGGATCTGTTTCTAAAGCCTCATGTTCCCAGATGTACAGCTTTGTTAAATATGTTCTAGTGTTTGTGTGGACGTAATCCAATGAAAACAGTACTTGTGTTCATTGTGTAAAGTAGCCAGTAGAAGTACCATGGATGTTTGATTCTGTTCAGAACAACTGAGTTACCCAACACCAGGCTTCAGCCCACTGCTTTTTAACCAGTGACTAGTGGCTCTTCCTGACTTTGCTTACACTGTGGAGCTGTAGGTCTAATGGTGTTTCCAAAGACAATTGTGAGAACTTTAATCTTCAGATCAAAAGGACCCATACAGTCTTGAATATTTAGTTTTAACATATTTCTGGCAATTTTAGAAGTCTAGAAGCATTTGGTCTCTGACAATGGACTCCAGTCTGCCTTTTTTGTCTTTCTTCCTTGCTCAAGGAGGCTCTCTAACTCAGTGTTTGGGGTTTTTTTTTTGTCCTTCTTGTTACTTGATGTATTGTTAGAATACAAAACTCACCAATAACAATATGAAATTTAGAATCTTTTGTGCAGAAAACTTTGTCTGAGAGTAATTGTCTCTACAGGAATTCAGCTAAAAAAGGTGCAGGAGCAACGTGAGCAAGAAGCAAAGCGAGAGCCTGTTGGAAACGATGTGGCAACCATCCTTTCAAGACGCATTGCTGTGGAATACAGCGATTCTGATGATGATTCAGAGTTTGATGAGAATGATTGGTCAGATTGAACCTGGTCCAAGCCCAGTGGCAAGTTCATGAAATACTTGGCTTCAGTGATTGCTTTCTTAGCAAGATGTAAAGCAGGACGTTGACATGTATTAAGGCTAGTGATTGAAGTGCTAAAATAGAATTGGTTTTATTCAGAATGCTGTAGCTTAGCAACTCTGGTAATAATGATGTGATTATGCTTATGCAGATCAGAAACTTGTCTTACTTTCAGTATTTACCGCATAATACTTAAGTGCCACTAAATGTAGCAAATCATGTGCTGCGTGCAAAATATGCTGCAGTTGTTGCACTGTTACAGGACCAGCATTTTATTTTACTTTCCTTATCTTGATGGGATAAAGTATATTTTTTTGACTTTATTTCTTATTCTTTTAATTACGTAAGCAACTTTGGTACTTGTGAATTGGCCTGGTTGTTAGTCCTTGAAGGCATTATGACTCAGTGATGTGTTGAGTTCCATAAATATGTCTTTTAACTTTTTTATTAGTTACTAGTTATGCCCACCTTAGTCTATTTTTAATCACTTCTGGGCTTAGGTTTTCTTGCATACATAATTAATTTTATATAATCTTTCTTTATATCTTAAATATGTAGCAGATGATGAAATGTATGCTTTGAAGAAGGAATCCACATGATGCAATTTTGTAAGCAGTCTGGCTAAGTTTGTAACAGTACCAGCTCTGGGTTGCTGGCTGCTTGTTGGGTAGAGTGCTGGGGTGTCTCAGGTAGGTAGCAGATGCACATCCATGTTACAAAATGAAAGTTCAGATACTTGTAGAGCTTTTCAGTTTTGTGATAATAGATCATCTAGGTGCAAAGACTTCAGGGTGGACCTGATTGAAGCCATGTGCTTCACTTCATTTTTACACATTGCAGTGTAAAAATGTTACTCTTATTGCTAAAGATTGGAACTTCTGTCAGTGCAGATCTAGCAATCGGATACTCTTCACAAGTATTAAACTTGGTCTTTATGCCTGTAGGTATCAGTGTTTGTAAATAACTTTTGTTGCTGTTGATTTGTACATGTATAGTCATGATAGATCGTTTTCCATTTCCTGTAGCACATTTACTCAAAACTACTATTACTTTGAATGTATTTCTTTCCCAGTACATCCCATGGATAAAACATTGGCAGTTAAAACAGTTTTAATGACTGTTTAGGTACTATGCCATATATATATATATATATATACTTGTTTTAATCTTCCCTAGGAACAGATGCTGCCATACAGTCTGCTTTGGCTGTCTCTGTTTTCTTTAAAAATAATTCCCTTTTTTCCACAGTACAGTTTTTAAATGTTTTTCTTTATTTGTTTTTGTTTTTCCTCTCTTCTGGACTAAGAGTCAGGCTGCTGTTTTGCCTAATGAGGTTCTTGAAAATGTATTCATAGCAGTGGAAGAGTTCTTTCCTTACCAGATTACAGTTTTAATCTTTGTAACTGAAGTCTGTAATTCCAGGTCTAACACTTGGTAAAGCTCCTTTGTTCTGTGAGGCCACATCTGTTCTTAAAAAAAAAAAAAAAGTATGTAAAATAAAAAGAGAAATAGAAGATAATGATCTAATTTGTGTTTACACAATTAGCAGTTTTAGTCCTGAGAATGTAACAGTCCAACATGATGTTTGCATGCAAACTATTGGCTACTTCATTGCTGTTTAATCTGCATTTGATTTTCCAATCTTTATTGGCTGTCTTTATGGTAGGGTGGTAACATGCTGCCTCAATGTTGGTGGTAAAATTTGTCACATAAAGTAGGACCAATCTCTGCATAATTGTGAGCAACTACAGCTCTTGTTAATTGGTGGCAGCTGAAGGTACTCGTCTCCGTTTCAGTTGGAGCTGGTTTTGTCTTTGCCTTAAAAATACAGAGCTGAAGTCTGCTTTCTTCTGTGTCCTGGAGTCCGAGGTCTGTGTGGCCACTGCAGAGGACAAAATTTAGGCCAGTTGGTGGTTTTCATCAGTGTATGAGGGGCTGTTTGTTCTGATGATCACTGTGTGCTTGCAGTGTGATTCTTCAGACGGGTGAGCTAAAAGCGCAGCTGGGACTGCAGTGTTACATCGCTGGGTGTGTGGGGAGGGTACTCTCAGTATTCCTTTAATACATGCCAAAATGAAATATCTCAGCAGAAAATTCTTTCCAATCTACTGAAGTTTGATATGACAGAAGATATATTTTATGAGCACAGAAGTTGGGTGTGTCTGAAACTTTGTAATTTAACTTTAAATAATAAACATTAAACAAGCAATCAGTTGTGAGCAGTTAAGATAGTGGAGATTTTTCAGTCATAGTAGCCAACCTGTTTTTCTGAACCTGCAATGTTGTCATTTTCCTTTTAGTGTGTTATTAATAAAATTGAATTTAGTGATGTAAACTAACATTATTCTAGGATGTTTTTATCAATTTTATCATACTTTGGGTTGTGAATAAGTAACAAATATGAATAAAATCTCACTTTTGAGCCTGTCTTTCTTTCCTTAGATTAGTAAGATTTTGCTACTAATATTTATTGGTAAATAGCAGAAACTAAAATGTAAGGCTTCCAAATGCTACCTCGGATCCTAGGAACTATGATTTTAATGGGATGGAGGCTGAAGTCTGTGAAATGAGACTACTTTAAGGTACTGCTGCTTCTCCTAATACGCATACTACTTTGTTCTTTTACAGTCTTGGTTCAAGCTCCATGTTGAAGTTCTTGGCTGGTGTAAACAG